CTTAGGAATATAAACAGAATAAAATCTCACTTCAAAAACTACCTTATTATTAAAAGAAGTTATAGTAATTCAGATCATATAACAGCCTTGAACACATGACTAGCAAACGGAATAGGATATTCTTGTGCTGTAACAAATGAGGCAAGAAACTTTGCTTCATATATTACAGATGCATATTTTTGGCCTTTTTCCCACTAGTTTTCTCTTTTAAATTTCATCACAGTTTAAATGGCTTTCTATACTTATCTACTTCATTTAAGAATGAAATATTTTCTTGCATTCAACACCATATTGCATGAATTAGGTTGAGAAGCATCAGACAGAGCCGTTTCCTTCTTGTGAGATCTAAAAACAAATGCAAAAATTGATGTTCATCAATAATTTTAAACATCGTTTTTTAAGTTTTTATGGGAATAAAAACAAATTCCAAATTTTATGAAAATGCTTACAACAAAAACAGTTCTAAATTAAAAAAATGTTTAAATAAATTTTCCCTCAACTTGTATCATTAAAAGTAAAGTTAGGCAAATTTGAAAATTATCAGAATACTTTGAAAAATGACTAGTTTAAGTAACTTGAATTATTTTTTAATTCCTACAAAAGTACAAGGTTTACTTTCCAAAATTTCTCATGTTGAAAATTCAAAACACAAACAGCAAAAAAATTTGCTATATATTACATAATGGAATGCTTATTTCATGGAGTGAGTGAATATTAGCATCACACTGTTCAGCTACTCAAGGGCTTTTGGCGATGGACCTTGTAATTTTTAACCATGGTCAAGTGATGAGGAAACCTCAGCTGGCAGCCCCTCTCCTAATTACCACACCACACCAACGGGAAGACATTTGAGCTCTTGACAAATTTAACATGCATCTATCCCCAACACAGCAGGTCTTCAATGGTACTAGGCTCAAACTCATGACATACTAGCCATGAGTCTGTTACCTTGACCACTAGGCTACAACAACCTCCTTATTTCATGGAACATTTGTGTAAACTTATGAAATGAAGCATTTTAGAACCTGAACATTTAATTCTACTTCAAACCTAGTTCCTCAGCCTGCATATATATAAATATACAAGGTGTATTTGAAAGGATGATCCAAATTGCAGCGGGAATACAAGTCATAAAAATAAACAAAAACCTAATATAATGCATGGCTATTATTCAATTGCAGAGCCACTAGGAAGCATGCTAATAGTAAAGAAAGACACCACAGCAAAGATGCACATATTTAAGAAAAAAATTATTTATTAACCAAAAGTTAAGATAACTGCTTGAAAAAGTAACTACCTGGAGTGATGCAGACATGCCATTAATGACAGAAAGAATCTCATATATGCTGAAAGATTCCTGGCTTTTTAACAGTGGCAATACTAATTATGGCAATAAAATATCTTAGTGACTAAATGGGCACCTCATATGCAGTATTTCCAGCAGTATCCAGAGGAAAAACAGTCCAGGCAGGACAAGTCAGTAGATCTATGAAATCAATGGGCCCATCACAGTTAATCCATTTGTTATGATGTGAAGTCTGGTTGGCTCTGCACATTTCTGAGATCATGAGCTGTCATTCCTAGACCCAAACATTCATTCACTGCATTACAGATACAACTCTTATTAAATCCAGTAGAAGGTGGTTTGCTGGATTACCTGACCTTCCTGCAAAAGATAAGGTATTTCTACCCAGCTAGTAAAAGATACGGCTCAATTAACTGTGTGTGTGGTCTCACGGATTATATCCCCACCACCCATATTCATAAAGAACTTTTACAGATAATCTCTGAGAAATGCAGTATATAGATTTAGTGTGGTCCTCTATGACTATTAAATTAAATATACCACCACACGTCAGTTAACAGAATAAATGTTGCAAAGTATGGCTACAGGATTCCTCATCAGTGAAAGGTTTCAAGTGTTTTGCTATCAATTCTGACAAGACGTAGCTTGCATGCATTTTTGCTTCACTTTATTATGTTATTTTAGAAAACAGACTGATGTTTTTCAGCCCCAGATTAGACTCTTTTAATTTTTGTCTCACTAATCCCTCATAAGTATTACTATCCATTTATGTTGTTCATTATAATGATTGGTTGTACAATTTTAGTACACCAATATAGCATTATGGTATATCAAGCAGACTATTCTATGATTTATTTCCCAGCATAAAACAATTCTACTTTCTACTTTTCCTGAAAATTTCATTGCTTGCCAGTAATTTTTTCATTTACCTATGCAACCATTTGGTTTTGATAAGGTTTTTAAAGGGCTGAAAGAAATTATTTAAATTTTTCAATTAATTAAACAATTTCATATTCAAGTTTAACATTCTGAAATGCAAAATACACTTAGATCCAGGGGCGTAGCTACCGCAGTATCAATGATACGGGCCCCCAAGCTACAGGGGCCCCAACATGTGTAACCACACTTCCACTAACAAGGCTCTCTTATCTAAAAAAGGGCCCAAAGTAATTTTGATACAGGGCCCACTTAGAACTATCTATGCCAGTGCTTAGATCTGAAGAATCACTCATACTTATTATTTGGTTTTGAAAGTTAACCAAAAGAAGGATCACTTATACTTGTGAAAGGATGTCACGAGGGGTTATTTATACTGAACTGAAACAAGATTGACAAAATGCAATTCAACATTTTGAGGCTCTACTAGACTTTTATAAGTACCTGAGATAAAAAAAAATATTTTCATTATTTTTAGGGGCTGGAATTATCAAAATATGAATCACTTATATAAGTTTATCAAACAATATTGATGCACCATCCCCATTATCATAAAAATGTTCATTATCTGTTTATTATTGTGGAGAAGTAATTAATTAAATTCATCTCCTTTTTCAACGAGCATTTATAATGACAAGGAATTCAGTTTCAAAATCTTTATCATTCAATTACTCATTAGATTTTAATAATAATAATAAAAAAGATTAGTTTTAAACAAAGATCAGCTTCTTTTCCAATTTTTTCTAAAGTCAGAAGCAAATCTACCTTTGCAACCCCCTTAAACATTTTAGAACAGTAACAAAGTTCTTACTTCTTCACACAAATGTAGTGTAAAATGAAGCTCTTATTTTTATTTTAATAATCTAGATAAAAACATAAATCTATGACAAACACTCATTCTTTAAATTGAAAATGCTGCGGTGTTTTTATTAGCATTCCTACTAACCATATTTCTCACTCAGTTCTTCTTTTGCCTAATTCAGTTCTTAGATGTTTAGATTCGTTAGGCAAACATCACATTGTCATGCAGTCATTCAAGTGATTTAGTATACTGATAGCATCAAACACTTTTGGTGTATTGGTATCAATAACAGTCTATGGTAAGGGCGGTTTGTGTACAAGCCACTTTTAATCAATAACCCTGAAACTGTTTTCTCAGTTATGCATCCAAAATCCCTTCACATTCTGCAGAATATCAAGAACAATTGATTATGCAGAAGCAACAACAACCCTTTAGATGCAAAGATTCATGCATTCTGCTGTACGACTAAGTGCACCCAATCAGTCACAAAAATTGACATTTCATTCTTTGACCTATCTAGTTCTAATTTTATATATAGTGGATGCCTCATGCATATTTATAAGGCCTAATCTTAATGGTGTATTTTCAATGTCCTGCAATTTATTAATAAATTGTTATTACAATTTATTTATAATCAAGTTTTAAAAAATATATTAGCAATTATTAATACTTAAGAAATTCTAATTTTTTTGTTAAAATCTTTTTTTCTTTTCATATTTTTATAGGTGTTGAAAAATTAGGTGGTGAAGGTGTAGAAATTTGATAAAAATCTTTATAATGAGATTTATTTTTCAATAGGAGCAAAGATTTCTAAAAAAACCTTTCTGTGTACTGCCAAGTATTTCAGCTAATAGAATACATATATACAGTTTTAGAGCATTTTAAATATTAACTAAATAACCTTGTTCAGTCTACTTCATCTCAATCTTCAATAATGAACTTAATTGTTCTACTCATAAAAAAAAGTAAAAGCCAGAAAACTTTCTAAGATAAAGGCAAATAATTTTAATTAAATATCACTACTTCAGCATCTAAGAGTGCCTTTAAGAGATAAAGTTCCCAAATGTGTTTTACCATAGATGTTTCAAATTTTCACCCTGATAGTGAGCATTGTTATAATTCCTTAACAACATTTAAAATCTTCAGGGATAGTATTACCTCCTAAAATACGAGTCCTAAAGAAAATTTTTTTTAGAAAAGCAAAGAATCGATGAAATTTAATTCAAAACCAGTCTGTTCAATAATTTCTTTGTAGTAAATTTGAATGCATATTTTTAGATAATAGAATGAATGTATAGGCTTTTGATATTTTAAAACTCACTTTTATGCTGTGTGAAAAGTGCTTAATAAAGCTGCATCTACAGGCTCCATGCAGGAGGGACATGTAAAAGATCGCATCAACCAATCATCTATACAGGAAGTATGATAAATGTGCAAACATGGCAAGTAACGAATGGAATCTCCAAACAAAAAGTCACCCATACATATGGCACATCTACAAAAATAAAAAGTATACAACTTGAGTATTTATATACATAAACAACTAAAGATATTTACATTGCAAACACACACACTTATTTAAGGAAATTGTCAAATACAGAATATTAAGCTGAATATCCAATAAGATATTACAAAATGAGAGTTCAATTTAGACATTATATTATTCTCATGTTAGTGAATGTATTGATGCTTTAAAATAACAGAATGTAAGTTCTTTAACATTTTTTAAGTCAATTCCTACTAAGGTCAACAGAGAAAATTTTTATTTTAGTTACTTTAAATTAAATAATTACAATTAATATAAATATGTATATACATATGACAGAATTACAATATTAGTGGTGAAATAGAAAGCGATTTCCTTTGCAATTTTCTTTTCTATATAAGGTGTTGGACTATTATTTTTGTTTGTTACTATATATTAATTCAATTCTCACACATTCTCAGGAATTAGGTCATCCCAGGTGGGATTCGAACCCACGACCTTTGGATTAGAAGTCCAACACGCTGTCTATTGCACTACAGGGACACAACAAGTGATTTTCCCTTTTATACTTGGTGTTGGAATATTTTTGTTTGTTTGTTACTATTTTTTCATTAATTAAATTTAATTAATGAATTAATGTTTGAAAAAACTGTATTACATCAAGTGTCATCCATTACAAGTTTTGAAAAAAATGTATTTGAACTTGAGTGGATGAATAAAAAGTATTTTATTAACGACTGAAAATTTGAGAATAAGATATATATATAGGGAGAGTGTGAACTAATAGTAGGAATTGAAAAAAATGCAACTTCTCATTTGAAATTTGAACAAACATTTTAAATCTGATATAATTTTTTTATTATTAAGTGCTCTAGAACCAAGAAATACATAATAAATAGTTAACAAAAAAAAAAAATGAAGAAATTTATTTCAAAACTTACTCTTTATTTTTATTACTTCCATCAAATATACCAGTGGGAAGTTGTTGAATAAAACCTATTCTCTTGGCGATTTTAATCTGTTCATCTTCAGTTAATTGAGATATAGGTCTTCCAATATTTGGCGATACAAAAAATACTGGTTCTGGAGGTCTCTCCTGAAAGAAAGAGATTTAAAAGGGGAATCATAAAAAATTTTGATCAGATGACTTTGTTTTGCATATGGTGAGCTAAGATCAAAATCAATAATGAAGTGCTAGGTAGTATGATTAAAACAAATTCAATATTAAATTCCACAGATGTAGGCTTCATCTAGTAATTGCTTTGTAAAAGACTTGGTTCTCAGTCAAAAGTCTGCATTTCAGTTCTTCATGAATTAAAAATAATTTGCAGAATTGAGTTTCCATATGTGTCTCAAATATCATCTGTCAAAAGGGAATCCTTTTTGGACTCCTTCCCATCTTCCCCAATAACTGGAAATGAAAAATAAGTAATGTAGAAAGAAAAAGAATATGTGTAAAACTGGAAAACACTGCCCCAAAGGCAAAGATGGGGGTTCATTAAAAGGTTAAGGTGAATTGTCAGTAAAAATACAAAGAAATATTCAGTTATAAGTTAATAAAAGAAGGTAAAACTATAATAATGTTACAATAGTATTAGTACGGATAACAGATAGATAAAAATGAACATAAGTAGATATCCTTCGTACACAAAAAAAGTGTAATCTTTTATTAGGATAATGCAAGGTTACATATGACATGGAAGGTAATTCAAAAACTATCAAAGATAATTTGGGAAAATTGGTCTTAATTCTTTCAACATAAACCAGATATTGCAACATAATATTAACATCCAATCACATATTTACAAAACTTTCTTGATGAAAATAAATACATAAAATATGACAGGGAACTAATTTGATATAGGAGTGCTACGCACTAAGCACTGTTTGGCATGATAGAGGAATCGTACCAAGAAGCGCTTGTTGACAAGTAACCCAAAATGTAAACAATTTAGTAAACTGATTGTATAAAAAATAAATTATAGCAAAATAAAGACTTACGAGTACACATTTTAGGCATTAAAATTCAAACATTTTACACAAGAAATATTTAAATTATTAGTAATCAGAATATTTATTATAACATTTAAAATTGCTTATTACATATATCCCATGTGTATCAATAATTGTTAATGAAGTTATTTGTATTAAATAATGAAATTTAAAATCAAATTTTTAGTACGTTAATGGATTATTGTTTCACATCTGCTCAGTAAAATTCTTGGAATGATTTCAATCATAAAACCAAATCAAATTACAGGAAAGAAATAACTTTTTATATCCTGAAACCAATTACATAGTGTACATATGAATATTAATATGATTATTGAAAATTATTTTTTCTTTCTTTTGATTATCTCCATTAGAATTTGTATGAACATTACAGGAAGAATTCATAACTAAATTATCATAAAAACTTTTGCTAAATATTTCATAAAATCAACTATTAACATAAAACAAATCCAAACAGTTACACAGTATTGTTTCCTTAAAGTCATATAATGTATTTTCAAAGCCAAATTCATGTTTTTGGATGAATTCAGAATATCATTAATCAATACTGGTTATTATTTTTTCTGGGTATACAAGGAATTAACTGGCTATCACTAAAGTACAAATATGCATAAAAGCATCTAAGGGGAAGATTTAATAGAAAGATGCTCATTTTTAGCAGATGCATACATTTTATGTTTTAAGAAATACATGATGACCTATTCCCTATTTTTTAAAATTATAACAGAAGAACAGAAAATAACAGTTGTGTATATTTGATAAATATTTCATTGGAAGCTATGAATACCTCAACTGGTGTTGGGGGAGATGATGATGAATCTTGGTCTAAGTGTTCCGGAAGAAGTGTGTCATCCTCGGGAGATGATGCACACAACCTCAAGCAGTTCCCCATAGTAATACTTCAATACGATATGGATAATTTGGTCTTTGGTTCTCAGCCTGGACCACTTTCATCTCCACAGCAAAATATAGGAAAAATTAACAAGCATAACTAGCAACACCTAAATCAATAAACAAAAAACATTAATTCTTTGATACGTGAAATTCGCATTAGAAAGATGAGAAAAATAAGTAAGCTTTGCATTATAATTATTTAAAACAAAAGTGTTTTTAAATGGATATTTTAACTGTATTTACTTCTCAGTTGTTTTATTGCTGATAAGTTATGTTAAATAATAATAAAAATACATATAAAAATAAAACAAAAATTAAACTTTTTGTATTATAAAAATATTTTAGCTATTGATAAGCAATTAATAATTAGATAAGTGATCTTTATGCATGTAGTTACTACATTTTCTATAACAAAATTAATGTATAGTACAATTTAAATGCTTAAAAACTTTTCTCTCACAAAGTACTATGAGGGACGTTCCAAAAGTAATTTTTGTCAACATTTTACACATAGAAACTTTACTGCGAAAAAAATTGCATTATGGCATCTCATGAACTACACATCTTACACTATTTTTCAACATAATCACCAACAACACTGAGTCATTTATGGTTGCATGCAAACAGTTTGAAGAAATCCCTTTGCTAAAACTCAGTACCCTGTGATTCAAGGAATTGTTGCATAGCCTTCTCCATCTCAGCACTGTTTTGTAAGGAATTTTCTTCACAAGTGAATGGATGCTTTCATGTTATTGAGGTACACCATGACCTGTACTCTAGCAATGTTTTCATTTGTGGCTCCAGAGGGATTCTTATTTTGACTTTTATCCTCCAAATTCTGCCTTCTAACTCTGAACGTGCGACACCAGTGACCAACCATTAGACCAACTCTTCACCATACCTGGTCTGAAGGCATTCATGGATAACAGACATAGTCCCACATGTCCATTTATACTAGATAACATCATGCATTTCCATTGGTGACCACACTGTCAGCACACCTTAGTTTTCCATCATGATTTGTACTCAAATAATCTTAGGCATGTCAGTCTACTGCTATGCTCTCATCTTAAGTGCTCCTTCCATCATGAGTGAATATTAATGTTGCACTATATTCAGCTATTTGAAGGCTTTTGGCGATGGACCTCATAATTTTAAACAGTGGTCAAGTGACGAGCTGACCCACCTGAGCTGGTACCCACCTCTCCTAACTTCCATACCACATCAACAGGAGGACATTTGAGCCTCAACATATCTAACATGCATTGGCCCCCTTTGCAAGGTGGATCTCTAGAGATACGAAGTTCAAACTCATGACACTCCAGCCACGAGTTTGTTACCTAGAGCAGTGTTCCGCAACCCCCGGTCCGCGGACCGGTCCGTGGATCAAATACTACCTGTCCGCACAAGAAACATTAAATTATTTCTCTTTTATTTACTGTGGTATATTTTTCTTAGATTTGGGCTACTTTTTAAGAAAATTACTTAATATTCCTTGTTAAGTCACTTTATATTCATTTTTTGGTGTAGCTATATTTTATTCAGAAGTCACAATTAAATGCACAATTAAATTAAAATTATAAAATCAAAACAGACTAAAATATAAACAATCAACATCCTCCCCCTCAGAGGGCCACGGTAAAATTAACAAACGTTGACCGGTCCACGGTGATAAAAGGGTTGCGGAGCACTGACCTAGACCACTAGGCTACTGTGGCCACCCTTACGTCATTGAATCAACATCAAATGTACTATCTTACCTTTAAAAAAAAAGTATGAATCTTGCATTCAGAATGTCTCTTGTAAATTAAATATAATACTATTTAAATGCTCAATTTTTTTTAACCAAGACTTTCTACAATAAAAACTTTTTAGATAAAAGAAAAGACAATTTTTTCCCTTCTAAATCTATCTTATAAAATGAGGCTCTTTGCAAAATTTTTATATGTACTTTAAAATCATTAATAATGAAATGTGCTACAATTTATGAAGAATTTCTTCAATTAATATAGACAACTGATCCTAGTAAAACAACACACAAATAAAACCTTGAACAAAATTTTAAGAAGAGTCTTATCAATTCCATTATTTATTAAAGAGAGTATTAGAATTTTTTTACAAAAAATCTATAAATCTTCATAACGTAACTACACATATTTTTACTCAATTACAATCTAAGTTATGCTTAAAAACATTTTTTTCACATAAGGCATTATGGTGACATCTATTTTCTTGTAAGTCAAGTGCGTATTAGAGAATAATTGTAAATGAAGATAATGTGTAAATAAAGGGATTACCATATTTATAGATACAATTTTTAAACTCACTCTATTTACCCCAACTGTTAAATTAAATACTTCAGCAAAATAATAATAATAATAAATAAATAAATAATAATAATAAAATTGTTAAATAGCTGATTAATTTTAAGTTTCTTCAGCATTTGCAACTTAAAAACAAACAAACCACAAATTAAAGTTAATTTAAAGTTGTCATCTTAAGTATTCTCAGTCATGATAATAACAGAGTACTAGATAAAAACTGTCAAGCTTAAAATAAGCTAAGGAGGGTTTAGTGTGATACTTAAAGGAGAAGTAGCTACTAACAATATATACAACCATTAATAATGTACGAAA